CCGTAATGAAGTATTTAAATATTTACTTCATGAGGCGAGACCTTTGCAACTTTAGTATAAGCTCTCAAAGTTTATAAATCCCAACCAAATGATGGTGTATTTATTAGATTCATAGGCCTTGAAGGTTTGCAAAACGTTTGACTTTGACGGGTTCAAATACTTCAATTGAATGTACCCTTTCCCAGAGTCTGCCAAAAAGAGATTCCATCTGTGATTTGACATCATTTGTAACAATTTGTTTGAAAACTATCACAAGGCTTTTTGAAGCATAGGCCTACTATTATGAGGAATGACTTTTGAAACTCCCTACAGTGCTAAATTTATTTTTAATCGTTAAAATCTGTCTTAACTACTGTCATCAGAGCCATGCAGCCATCGCATGGTCCCTGCAGCAACCCCTGCAAAGGCGACTTCTTGTATTTTCATTTTTCCTGTCTGTTGAGGAAAGCTCTTAGCATTAGTCGAACCGTTATCTTATTGTGCTGTCTTTCAACTTTCAATTCAAGCTTCCCCATACCTTGTTCTATTTCATCTACACAGTTTGAACACAGTCCATTTATTATTCTGATATTTAAAGGGACCAAAGTTGTGATCTGGGAATTATAAATAACTATCAATGTTGAATGTTGGGAGCACAAAACCTGAAAGAGGTAGGAGGCCTCCAAAAGTCACGTGACGGTTCTGCATGTCATAGTTTCCATCATATTATGGATTGGGGAGGAGGTGGTTACAAAACTTTTTAAAATGGCAATAGACCTGCAATAGACACGCGACGGCCCTGCGTAGATCAGTGGTTATCAAATTGAGCGATACAACCCCCAGGCAGTGTCGCATTGACATCGAAGGGGCTATTCGCACCCGGGTACCAGAAGTGAGAGATTAGGATTAAAAAACTGTTTGAAATATTATTGTTGAGTTTGTAAGAGAAAATGAGGAATCAAATGAAAGATAATTGAATGGACTATATGTTTTTAAACTTACTTCTTCAGTTAAACTTAAATAAACTACCATTCTCATTTATAAACGCACATCGTGTACATAAAGAAATTTCAAGCACATGTTAATATATTGCCGCCATATTGGTTTTCGGTTATATCGATCTTCGGTTATCTCGAGGCTCTTTGGCAAACCCCGAAGCCTCCGACATAACCGGGTTCGACTATATTAAACCTACTCCGTATTTGGTAACCCATCATAGCTGTTTAAAAACCTGTAAAGTCTCTTTACCCTGTGTCATTTCCAATGTTAATTTTGTTTCACAGCATTGCTCGCCCCGAGATTTCTGCCAGAGGCCACTCACCACTTCTTCATCTACAGCAGCGGCTCCCAACCTGTTTTCTCTCCCGTACCCCTAGATTAAATTTTTCATTTTTGAGTACCCCTTATAATGAAATATAGATTCTAGTTAGGGCTGAGCCTGTTATTGACCAGGATACCCGGAAATGTCGGGTATTAGCACGCACAGTACGTTTCATGACCCGGGTCCGGGTGTTTTAAAAAGGAGTCATCTTCTCATTTTTTATATTGAGAAATGAAAAGTGCGCGTATAGAACCAGGACATCTTTAAAATATCTTTTGTATCTTTTTACTTGGATTAAATAATTAATAATAGAAAAACTGACAAGCGATTAGTGCGAAACTAAATTAATATAAGCTATATGAAACAGCAAAGCTATGAAAATAACGTAATTGCTGTTAATTTTGTGCAGGGGTAATAAGGGGAGAGACTGCAATCAGGTTAGTACAAAATAAAATGAGTAAAACAGAGTATGGTTAAACCTGAAAAATTAAACGTAACAAAACAGCGAACGTGTCGGCAGAAAGCCTTCGTCAGCGAACAAAACAACAGAAAAAACGTTATAAAAATAAGAAATAGCACTTAGCTGGTAAGTAGTATCTGTGGGCAGCAATAGNCTAAGTGCTATTTCTTATTTTTATAACGTTTTTTCTGTTGTTTTGTTCGCTGACGAAGGCTTTCTGCCGACACGTTCGCTGTTTTGTTACGTTTAATTTTTCAGGTTTAACCATACTCTGTTTTACTCATTTTATTTAATTTTGTGCACTTATTTGACTTAGCAAGATGCATATATTGGCTATGACCGTGGCACTTTCTATTTCCAATTAATATTTCATTTCAAATGACTGGCTGCTGAAGCTAAGAAGCCAGAGTTTGTTTTCTGTGTGCGCGCGTGCGTTTGTTTGTGTGTGTAAGTGTGTGTTTGTGTGTGTCTCATTTCTAAGTTCTGTTATCGAGTTAAAAAATAGAAATGCCACATAACATTAACATTCCTTTAATAAATGAAGCTATTAGCTTAACTGAAAAAAGGCTAGGATGACAACGCCATTATGTTGACATGAATATTTTTTAAAATTAAAATAATATTTAGGACTTTTCCGATTCTATCCCTCGACCCGCCATATCATATGAAAAGTGTGTGAGTGTGTGTGTTTTCAACGAGTATCAAGTATCTTTTGTATTATATCTTTAGCTGTTAGCCGTTAATTTAAAAAAAAAATAATAGCTAAGCTTAGCAAAAGACAAAAACGAAATGCTAAAAACACTCACAACCTTGACCTTTAGCCTCTATTAGGGACTTAAACAAATATGGCGGGATGTGAAACTAACAATTTGACTTGAGGCCCCCCAAAATTCTTTTAAAAAAGAAAATCTTGAACTTTTGAATGTAAATACTGCGAATAACGGTCTACTTTGACCATTTAACATATTCTTTTTTTCCTCCTGGGCTCACCGGCATCACAACTTTCTTAATTACTCCTTCGAATGGAGTCAGTGGTGTGGTCTCTACTCTCAGATACAGCAGATTTGATTCAGCGACACTGACACTTACGGTGTTTTTGTCCAGTGGTGATTCCGGCTAATTTTAGAGGACTTACACACTGACTCTGAGTAATGTTATTAGTCTTATTCTTAGTGTAGGGTAAGTGATTTACTAGTCAAGTGAAACCTTGATTTATTGAGTTGACTTTGCCTGGGCCTAAATATTGAATAGCAACTCTGAAACTAAAGACTAAAGTGAAAAGTGGGCATGGGGCTTACTAGTACTACTACTAACTACTAGAAATAATATTTTTGTTCTTGTTTGTATCATGTTTGACTCATAGTCATAGTAATAGTAGTAGACTACTAATAAACTACTAAAAACTGTTTTATGACTATAAACTATAAAATAGCATAGCGCAAATAAATACAAAAGAAGTTAAAGAATGAAATGAACAATAGACAATAGTAATAGTCATAGTAGTATATTTTAGTAAATTATACACTAAAATAATTTTAGTGTATAGTATAAGTATAGTAAGTAGTAGTACGTACATACACTAGTAGTCTAGTCACTAGGCTAGGTCTAGGTAATGCCTAGCTTAACATTTAATATAGGCATAGGCTAGTTATACTGTGGGTCAAATGGGTTCTCTATACTTAAACTTATACTATACTAGTATACTATTATCATTTTTATAATATACTCTATTACTGACAGTGAACAGATTTTTATAAGGGTAACCTGGGACCCAGGGTGGTTTGGGGGGGACCCTCCTCAGAACATAAAAACGGTTCATGAAAATTTACTGAAATACATGCTTTCCTCAAGGATTACAAAGTAAAATACATCTGTAAGCCACAGTAAGTGTAAGGAACAGGCAAGCATCCGCTAATGTTGCTGGGACTTATCACGACATGTGTCAGCAATTCATTATTAATAAACTAATATTGTAAGATTCACAAATACAACATAATTTACAGACTACAGTAAAGTTTGTGCAGCAGCACGACTGTACAGTCTACAGACACCAGTGAATTGTGTACAGCAGTATCTACTTAAAGAGTTAAAGTTTAAAAAATAATGATAATCTTTGTCTGTCAGTTCTTTCAAATTTGTTGTACCGGTACAAAATTAATTAATTTTAAGTGAAAACGGCCGGCCTCAAATGTCGTATTGATGAGTGAATCAGTCCTTATGAGGGTGACAGCATAGCATGGGACAAAAGGCTAATCTCATGTACAAGGACAGAACATGTATCACTCGTAAGAACATAAGAATCAAGAGGAAACGGTATCCAGTGCATGGCCACGGCACGGCCACTACCATCTCAAGATCCATCTAAGGCCCGCCTTCTGTGCATTTCCATACTTCAAAAATAGTTGCCAGCAGGCATCAAACTCACAAGAAGGTCGACTAACTGTTTGATGTCATGAATGGCAGAGAGTATGACTTAGAATCAGAAAGGATGCAGAAAAAGTATGCAGTTTGTCGGGAAATCTCTTACGCCAGGACATTTCCTGACCTTTCAGGGATGGGTGATGCAAAAAATAAGGAATGTCCTGGGTAAATAAGTTGTCAAAAACTCGAAGATTCAGTTTTACTCAAAATTTCTAAGTACAATACCGGTACTGATTTATTTTTTGTAACTAGATATAGAAAATAAGAATAGGCCTATACTTATAACTTATAACAAACGAAAAGTAAAAGTCCATTATAAAATAGACCTTTAGCCTTGTATAGCTTAAATAGTATTGTTTATTAGACCTATGACTTATGTCCTTGTTTATGATACTACTATAACTAATTTGAGAAACTGTTGATTTATTTTAAAAAATATTTATATTAAAAGTTGAGTAGGGCCATTAGTATTAGGCAAGTAGTTCCCAACATGTGCTATACATTTACTTCTCAGGGGTTCTGTGGTGATTCCAGGAAACACCTAAATGCTATTGACATATAAGACATAGTACATGAGCAAGGGTATCATTTCGTAGGCACTCTGTCATAGAAATGGAATCTGATAAGGGTGCCACAAGAAAAATAGCCACTGCATTAGGGATTTGTATTGGTCTAATTTAAATCATCTTAACCTTGTTTGTTTGCTACATTAAAAATATTATTAGACAAGGCTTAATTTAACTAAGTTACCATACAACTACTGATGCCCTGTGAGGCTTGCTTATGAGGTTTTATTTTTTAAAATCCTTTTTCAGGACAAAAAATAAATTAAGGATGCCACTGCTAGATATCAATGGAGTGCAGATACATTTCCCATTCACACCTTATCAGTGCCAAGTGGATTACATGACTAAAGTTCTTATGTGTCTTCAACAGGTTTGTTTCAAAAAAATATATTAAATCTTTCTATACATGAAATATTAAATGCTTTTTTTTATTTGGTCTTAGATCAAACCCCCCACAAATTAGTTACACATTTTCAGGATATTATGGAGAGGTCACTCATAAGATTGTTTTTTAATTTTGCAACTAGTTAACCCCCACCCCATATTTTCAATTAATTCTATGCATCTATTACTTTCAGAATCAGAATGGCATTTTAGAAAGCCCTACTGGGACGGGTAAAACTTTATCTCTCCTTTGTGCATCCTTGGCATGGCAAGAGGCTCGAAAAGCACAGGTTGAGCTTAATAAGCAAATTGGAATTGCCTCTACATTGTCCTCTGAAAATGTCAATATTAACCTTGGAAAGCTTACGCAGAATCTGCAGACTGCCTCAGGAACAAGCTGGGGCACTGAAGAATTTTGTAAGAGATTCACTTTAATATTTTCTTGTTTCTATATGATTTAAAAAAGCAAGATTACATATAATTTATATAAGGATAGCCTTAAAAATGAAGAAATAAAACTTTTGATTCTGTAACTGTAATGGCAGTACCACAGAACACAACATTTAAGTAATAACTGTGGAAGGAGCCAAACATATGTTTCTGATGCATCTTTACAACCACCCCACCCCACAATGCTTTAAGATAGATGAACCTCTCCCTCCCACCCGAAGCTATTGAACTTATTGAAGGCAATTATATTTTACTTTAAATACAAAATAAAAAGTTTTTGAACATTTGAAACTTAACAATTTTCTTGGTCAGTAATATTTTTTTAATATACAGAATGCATCATTATTTTTAAGAATTTCTTATTCATCTTAAATAAAATAATTATAATAATTTCTGCTCTCATTTTATCCCAGACTAGGTCAAATTAAATGTTCATTGAATATCATTAAAATCAACAAACCAAAAAAATACACCAATTATTTAACCATATAGATTATACTCCAGGCTCTTGAAAAAAAAAATACAACAGTGAAGAGAATAAAGTAAATCTCGATTTGTTTCAATAAAATTTTGTTAAATTATTTAAAGTATTTATCTATATTTTAGTGGTGCCAAGAATCATCTATGCTTCCCGAACTCATTCTCAGCTTTCACAAGCAGCACAGGAACTAAAACGAACTGCGTATAACAGGTAAAGTGAAAGATTTGTCCTTATTTTGCTATGGTCCTTTTTCATATTATTAAGTTTATTTAGAAATGAAAATGCGTATGTTTGTTAGTAAAAGACACTTTTGCCATCTTTGTTTTGAAAATGTTTAAATATAATTATAAAATTGCTTTTATCATATTTGAGTAATTAATATTCTTAAATTCTATAAAAGACTGACATCTTAACAGAATTATGTGTCCAATTAACTGAACAATTTTAAAGCATTAAAAATAATTTTGAAAATTAAAAAATGACAAAAAATAACTTTTACTAATTTAGTTATGCTTTTTTAAATTATTTCTTTTATAAACTTAGTGTGAAGTCATCTGTAATAGGTTCAAGAGAACAACTCTGCATTCACCAACAAGTACAAAAATTGACAAGCAATGCAGCTAAAGTGAGATTAATCTTAATGTTGCACAATAACAATATAACATTTGTTAATGCATTTGGTATATAAATTTAATATTACTATTTGCAAGAGACAAGTTCTTTCATCCTCTTTTGTACATTTCTGAAATGTAGCAAACATATTCCTGACTTTCATGCATTAGAATGAAACCAACAGGTGTAAGCTTGATATTGAATTATATCTAACAATTTTAACAAATAGCGTAACACATTTATACCATTTTATTATTCAATAAATAAAAAAAAAATCTGAATGTATTTTTCTAATAGTCATATGTTGATGTGCTAGTTTTGATTTTTAAAAAAATGCTATTGAGATTGAGAAATAACTCTTATATACTTTTATTACACCAGGTACATATGTGCAGAGCTAAAGTTACAGCTAGACAATGTCATTTCTATAATAATATTGAAGGTAAAACATTATGATAGGTATTCAAACTTACTTAACCTTCTTTATTTCAATTAGTTCTTGTCTTTTTATTTACAATGATGAGCTTGAATAAATTCCACTCTGTCAAAATTAATGAATCAAAGGCTGATATTCTTTGCAGAATTTAAAAAGAAAGGTGATGCTCGGAAGCTAATGGGAAATGTGGTCGACATTGAAGACATAGTCAAAGCAGGGCATAAAACAAAGTGAGAATTTAATTTAAAATCTCATATTGAATATAAAATTGAACTTTATATAAAACAATAAAATACGGTTTGTTAGTTTAATATTATTAAAACGATAATAAGTGAGAAATTGTCCCTAAAAACAACAATTATATTTTTTCCCCTGAAGCAAGTCAAAATTTATATAATTACTGTTACAAATGGCTTGGCATCACTACTGATTTGTTACAAGTGCAGACTGGAAGCATTTTAAATACCTAAAAATAAACTCTTGTTTCCAAGAACATGTCCCTATTACATGGCCAGAGAACTGAAGTCTGATTCAGACATTGTCTTCATGCCTTACAACTATTTGCTGGACAACAAGGTGAATATTTTGTCTTTTCAATACAGCTTATATTACAATTCTGGACATTGATGTTCCATCAGACATCATTTCTATCCTTTCATTGAAAAAAATTAAGACTTCAAAGTAATTTTATTTTTTATGTATCCTACAAAGGTCTGAATAATTTAAATTTAACCAGTTTAAATGAACCATTGCTTTTCCTTCAGTCACTAAAAGTGTAACAATTTTCAGTCCAGAAAGGCCCATGGTGTGGAACTTCAAGGAAGTATCATTATCTTTGATGAAGCACATAATTTGGTAATTGTAAAAAAAAATGTCTACTGAATATATCTGTTTTGTTATTAGTATTAAGCGAATTGAGAAATACAAAATTTTCTATTCAACCCTTATTACTAAGATGCAAATAAGTAAAAGAAAAGAATTTTATAAAGTGTTAATCAGTTTGAAATACGCTTATTTTTTCTGTACCAATTATAATTTCATTTTTGTTTAGGAGAAAATCTGTGAAGAATCTGCCTCTTTTGATCTCAGTTCTCTGGATCTGGCCACTGCCATAGAGGAAACCACTAAACTTGGAGAAAAAGTGGCCGAGATGAGTGCCACAGAAGCTGAATTTTCACAGATTGAAGACTCAGCAATAAGTAAGATATATTTAACAGTTTTGTTTATAGTTATTGAGAAAAATCTATTGAATTTAGTCCTAATAATAACTGAGATATTCAACACTTCTACGCTTAAGGTTGTGTAATTAAATTAAGAATAATGTTGATTGTTATTTACATTTGCTATATTTTTATTGAAATGCTTTAAGGTCTAGTTATTGAGAAAGTTTGATATGAATGAGTTTTTTAACAAATCAGCTATTTAAATCCTGACTATTTTGGTTCATGATGCAGAATCATGGAGAAGTAATGCTAGATTTAATGACAGTTTGGGTTGTCTTTTTTTTTTTTTTTTTGTAAGAATTTTATTTTTCATGAAAAAATACTGAAATATTCATGATGCAGAATCATGGAGAAGTAATGCTAGATTTAATGACAGTTTGGGTTGTCTTTTTTTTTTTTTTTTTTAAGAATTTTATATTTCATTAAACAATACTGAAATCTTACTGCACTATGAAAGCTACATTATGAACTATATTCTTTTCAATTTCAGTACCAGAATTTAACTTGGAAGATGTAGTCAGATTAAAAAGTAGGTTAACAGCATCTTTTTTGGCCACCAAAATACTCATCTAAATAAGTTTATATTTTCTGTAGTAATTTTAAGCTAAAATTGAATTTATGAATGAAAAAATATCATTAAGACAATGTTATATTATGATCTAGTTGTTAACTAAAAAGTTTAAAAAAATTTTTGGACTGCACACTGCATAGAAATATTCAGTTAAAATAGATTTTGTTTTTTTTAATTCCTTCCATTCGACCAATAAATATTTAAATTTTTTTTTTTTATTAGCTTGTAAATCTACATGTTTGTGCAGTTATAAAATTGTATTGACATGGTGCAAACTGATGATTACATGTTTGTTTAAAAATTCAGAAACCTTGTTGGAAATTGAGGAGAAATTAGATGGACTTGAAATCCCCTCTCATGCTGAAGGCAGGACACTTCCTGGAAGGTATGTTAGTTATAAACACATGCATTTAATAATTTTAATTAAACAAAATAAAAATATTAAAATAACCTTAAAACCATTATATCCACAGGATGCCAAATGGTGTCTATATAGCATCGCAACAAGAAGAAAGCATGAAAATTATCCCTTTTGCTGTGCGCACATAATAGCATTTTGCATCTTTCATAAATGGATCGATTATGGATAGATTTTAATTTAAAATTGAAACAGCTTGCTTAAAGTCAGATTTCATAGAATACTGATATTTTACACATACTTACTTTTTCCATTCATCTCGGTCCTGTGTGTTCCTTTCCAGTTTCATCCCATTTCTTTGTGTCTCCCTCTAGCATGCATCTTCATGTATTCTTTTGCCGTCCTCTCTTCCCTTTTCCCTGCGGATTCCATGTTAGGGATTGTCTAGTGACATCTGGGGTTTTACGAATAGTGTGCACTAACCACCTACATCTTTTCCTTATCATGTGTTCAGGAATACTCGTTGGTATGCCCTTTCCTTTAAGTCTTTGTTGGTGAAGATGTTTGGCCATTTTATGTTGAGGATCTTTCTAAGGCAAGTCTTTATGAAGGTGTCTGTACTTTCTGCATAATGCTTGCTAAGTTTTAGGCTCCAATGAGTAGGACTGTTTGGATATTTTCACACTGGTGAATAGCAGTTTTGTTAAAAAGTGGAACCTATGATTAATTTGATAGCAATTTAGATCAGTGGCCTGCATTTAACATTAAATAGTTTTTCACTATTCAAGCGCAGATATCAATAGCTCATAAATCTAGGGAAAATATACCACAAAACTGCATAATTTTATACAAATTACAATATTTAAATTTAACAATAACTTCTAAGATGTCTGAGCCTGTTTTGCTGCTTATCCAGAAATTTGATCGAAATAAATTTCGTCAACGGTAATTTGATCGAACGGATATTTGGTCTAATCTTTTTTTCATTTTTTACGTTAAAATTTTGCTTCAAATTTCTTTTTGAATGCATTATTTTGTTTTACTATATAGTATAGTGCGTTCAAAAAGAAATTTGACGAAAAAAAGATTCGACCTAATTTCTGTTTGATCAAATTTCCGTCGATCAATTTACGGTCAACGAAATTTCTTTCGATCAAATTTCCGTTAACCGTTTTTGCTGAACATAGTTGTTTTATATGTGACTTAATGTCTGATCAAGCAACTCAAAGATCACACTGAATGTTTTTCAAGCATGACTTCTAAACCTATTTCTAACATTAAGAGTAGGCGAACAGTTGTTGAAAATGTTATCTGAACTGCCATAGCCAAGTTAGAAACTCTAGGATATTCTTCCTTGACTTAAACCCAGAAAAGATGCAATGGAACTTCAGTGAACTTAAATTTGAGTGGCCATTTGGCGTGAACATTTAATCACCCTTTTTACAAAATTTTAATAATTGTTCCCAAAATATCACATGACATGTTGTCCAAACCACAAAGTAAAGGCTTGAAAAGTGTGTGATTAAGGCCAAAGATTAAGGAATTATTTTACTAGTCTTCCAGTCACAATGAGATGGAGACTTGTCATGTGACCCCCAAAATTTAAACAGGCTATTGTGCTGTGCTATTTCACTTCAAACATTTGTCAGCTTGTTATTTAACTCGTCTTCCATTTTGCTTCAACAAATTTATATTGTTTTCACTTGTTTGTACAAGATTTGCAGAGCTCTGATAAGATGTAATTATATATAATTAATCCGTTAATTATGCATATGTTCTGCAGCAGATTGGATTCTGCATGCGTCCCTAAGAAGTCTACGATGAACATTGCTGACACTGAATATAAGTGATACATCCGTTCACCATTTGTTTAAAGACATGGGTGCGTTTTCGTACCAGATACAGGTTGGACAACGCATGAAAGATCGAGAAATGATATCGAATGCGAGCCAGGATGATTTACTGTGGATAATTTTTGGCCATGGTGAATGATGATCCATATTTTTTAAAAGAATTTTTTGTTCTTGGACAAAAGTCATATATACTTGGACTTCTACAGTATCGCCAGACAACTCACTTTCTTGGTTTTGAGTGGCCAGATGTTATCGTCCAGAAATCATTACACAGTACTCGTTGTTGCCATTTTAAGCACATTGTATAGTATGTCCCTATTTCATTGAGGATGAGGAAAGCAATGCTCTTACCGTTATCTCAAGAACACCACAGGGGCCGGCCGATCGAACCATTTCTTCAGGACTTGGGAAGGTTCTGTCTTTCAAGTAACTTTCACTTGAGTAGATTAGTATCAACAGGTTGGGGTGACCAGCCATACGGCTTGAGAATCTATTACCATGCTGTAGAAGAACTTTCCAGGACACTTTTCATGTGATGTTGTACTGATTTCCCCTTACCTGATTCCCTCCCCTGTTCTGACACCACCTTATGCCTACGTGTTGAGAGTGTTCAAGGAGAGTGTCTTCAGCTATAAAAGATCCACTGACAACTGTGCCTGCATTAGGAAAGAGAATAGTCTCCTCTTGCAGGCGTCTGCAGCTAACATTGTCCAGTGATATGTTGGAAAATCTACTTGAGCGATATGAACTACCCCTTACAGCAAGGCGGTGAAGACTATGAACATTTATGTTACCAAATCCATCCCTGTGGCGCTACAGCCCATGTAGGGCTTTGTCCCGCCTCACCACTTCCTTCCACTCAGACCATCCATCCATACCTGTGGCGCTACAGCCCATGTAGGGCTTTAGCCCGCCTCACCACTTCCTTCCACTCAGACCTAACTAATGCCTTTCTTTTCCATGCATGGACTTTCAACTGCTGTAGATCTTTTTCCACATCATCTATCCACCTAAGCCTAGGTTTGCCTTTGAGCCTTTTTCCAATACCCCACCAATTTATGTTATCTACTCAGTGGTAAATCATTTTCGCCGATGTTAGTTTCTTCCAGGAGAAATACACTGCTTGTCTTTTCTTTTCGGTACTTTTCAGTTTTGGCGCATGCTGTGATGTGAACTTATTTAAATTATGAGTGAAGCTTCTACATTGATCACTTTGTAATCATGTCAAGTGTTATCTCTAATAATAACTTCATTTTATTTTCCAGTTTTATTTTTGAATTCTTATCTGAGGTTAACATCACTTGGTCAACAAAGAACTTATTAATAGATGTCCTGGATAAAATGACAGCCTTCCTAGGCAATGATGGTAAAGGTCTATAAGCATACGATTTTCTGCTATATTTCAGAGTTTGATATAAAGTTATAATAATTTTGATTTTCTTTTGCTATTATTGGCTTGTAGTGTATGTTCTGCCATGGGGAAATTATTTTGCAGATAAAGTATTCAGTTCCTGATTCTCCTGTGACAGTTCAGGAACTAATGTGTATGGTATCCAATGGATTGCAATTAGGATATTTCAAGTGAATGCTCATAAATATGATCCTAGACTTAATCTAAGTTTCTTCCTCACTGTATGAGCACATTGTGCCAACAACTGACTGCCACACTGTGTGAGTGCATTGTGCCAACAACTGACTGTCACACAGTGTGAGTGCATTGTGCCAACAACTGACTGTCACACTGTGTGAGTGCACTGTGCCAACAACTGACTGTCACACTGTGTGAGTGCATTGTGCCAAAAACTGACTTTCACACAGTGTGAGTGCATTGTGCCAACAACTGACTGTCACTTTATAAGTGCATTGTGCCAACAACTGACTGTCACACTGTTTGAGTGCATTGGGCAAACATCTGACTGTCACAATGTGAATGCATTGTGCCAACATCTGACTGCCACACTGTACGAGTGCATTATGCAAACATCTGACTATCACACTGTGTGAGTGCACTGTGCCAACAACTGACTGCCACACTGTGTGAGTGCATTGTGCCAACAACTGACTAACACTGTGTGTGCACTGTGCCAACAACTGACTGTCACACTGTATGAGTGCACTGTGCCAACAACTGACTGTCACACTGTCTGAGTGCATTGTGCCAACATCTGACTGTCACACTGTGTGAGTACATTGTGCCAACATCTGACTGTCACACTGTGTGAGTTCATTGTGCCAAAAGGGGCTGCCTCATTTCTTTGCCACTTTATCATCAAGGGTAATGTCCAATTTATTCTCGTCCCTTCAAAACATCTCCTTCCAAGTCCTCTGAGGTCGTCCTTGCATTCTCTTTTCTGATGGCACCTGGTGCGCTTTTAGCTAAAAATAATGTGGCAGGTAGAGGATTCGGCCAGTAATCAGTTGGGCAACTGTAGTGTCCAAGCTTTACTTAATTCCTGGACTGTATTCCAACCCCTATGATATAAAGAGGAGGATTAGATTTTGGGTTAGCAATCTGACCCCCATTTGAAAAAAACTGCTTAAGTAACAACAGTTAAAAACAAATCAGAAAGATGAAATACAATTTCATCTTAATCTGCAGTTTGTAATATTATTGGGAATAAATGAAAACTAAGGGTCTTTTAAATTAAAATTTAAAAAAATAAAGAATTAAAGAAATAATTAACATTTTTCCTGTTTAGATTAATTAAATATAGTATGGCTTTAAAAATGTTCTGATTATTTCTTGCTAGAGTCATAATATGTGAATTTTACTGTAATTAAAATTATTTTTACAGATGGAAATTCATTACTTAATACAAAAGGAGCTGGTCTGTCAAAGTTTTCTGATTGTTTAAAAGTAAGTTTTAGGCCTAGCGACAACAAAAAAATAAAGTTATAATACTGAAACATCATTGGTAGGTGATGGAGTAAAGTAATGGTCATTTACATTTGATAATATTTTAAAAAAACGTTTGTTTTGATGCATTTGTTGCTTACAGTAATAACGCAAAGATATGTTCATCTCCTGATTATCATGTTGCAATCATTGATATTTTTTTTCCCTAAATCTAATACCATTTTATGGGTGAAAAAAAAAGTCAATGAATTATGTATTGATTACAGATTGTTTTCAGTCAAGAGCCACATGAATCCCATTCTTTGTCCTCACACCAAAGTATTTTGTCACAGCACTTTAAAGTAAGTCAAATTTTTTTGTCATCAGATGGAGAAATATATTTATGGAAGTAAGTCCAGATAGGTTTTTATAGCCATTTTAATGTTTTAGCTACTGTTTTTATAGTCATTTTTCACATAGTAGTTACTATTCTAGTGTCTCTGGTTTTTTCATTTTTATTTGCTTTAGCAGTTTAAAAAGTTTACATATTTTTAATAATTGTAAAGCGCTTAGAGCTGTAAGGTAAGCGTTATAAAAAAAATGCCTTAATAATAATAATAGGTCTCCTTTGGTTTGCCCCTGACAAGTGTAGTTCGGTGTACATTTTTCGGGTATTATTGATGCCTACAAATGTTTTTTTTTGGTGGGGGGACTTACCTTGGCTAATCTTGCTACTTCCTTAAAAGCTCAACTTATTAACTTTTCCCTAAAAATTAGGAGCTAAGCTGCTGTTTGTTCTCACTCACACGCCTTAAATGGATTTCTTTACTTGGTGTGTATTATATGTACTGCCAGAGGGTGAAGTTAGTGGAATAGCACTGTTCCAAGGGATTATTTTTGTTGTTACAGATAGTATTTGGTTCCAGCTTAATAGTATGCCATCCTAAAATAAATACATTTTAATGTAAAACTTTATTAAAATAAAAACACCATTTTAAAGGTCATGAGAGCTAATTGTACATTTTGTGTTAAGTACCTTTTGCTAAAGTATCAACTAAAATTAAAGGACAAGGATGTCTCCCTTACTAAAGAAAAAACAAGCATAGTTTTTCAAATGTTAAATTAATCTTACTTTACAAAATGTTTCTTGATAATAAAAATAATGTTACACTTTATTTCACAGAAAATTCTCAGGTACTTAACATAATCTCTAATTCATTGAGAACTTTATACAACAAAATAAGCAGCTTTTCTAAATTGTCAATATATTGTTCAGAAAATCCATAATGCAGATAATTTAAATAAATGCTAATTTTTGTTCTCCAGGTTCACATTCAGAAAAAAGATTCTGATAAACAATTTAAGAAGAAAATTGATACATGGTCGTCAAATACAAATCCAGACAAAAATGGTATGAAAAACATCTTGTCTCATAATGATAGTCCAATATCTGGATAGCTCAGAAATTAAAACTAAATAAAATTTTAAATATAAGAAGTCCATATAAAAATTTAAATTTATGACAAAATTGTCAGTTTATTATTTTTTTAATTTTAAAAGCTCTTTATCATTCTGATCCAATGTCACTTTGATACCTTTTGTTTTTTTGCAATGTACAGAGCGCATTTTAAGCTACTGGTGTTTCAGTCCAGGCCATACTATGAAAGATCTTCAGACTCATGGTGTCAAGGTTATTATTCTAACAAGTGGGACACTTTCCCCTCTAGACTCATTCGCAAAGGAAATGCAGATGTAAGTAATCATAGTAATTTTCTAAAAAATATTGTGTGTCCCATCCCCCCAAAAATCCTCTACTTTTCCTCCCGGGAGCACTTGGGTAAGGATTACGTTTTTTAACATTTTAATCAATAAATGAAAGTTAGTTGGGTCCAGTCCTTGAATTTCTGAATAAAAATAATGAAGGGAGATAAAGCATGGTAATGTGCAAAGGAAAAAAAAGCTTATCTGAATACAACTTCTATTGTTTTGTTTTTTTGTGTGGTTATTTTTATGGTCAAATTTTGTAAACAACTAGTTTTAGTTGATTTGTCTTAAAATGGAAATCATGTGAAGTAATCTATGTACTTAAAACTATTTGTAAAGAATAGAGGGATCTTTTGTTGTCAAGTTTTTTCCTAATTGCTTGATGAATGAACATTGACGTGAACATTAATGTTTCTGTAAGTAATGTAATAAACTGCAACTGTTGTCAGGCAAATAGAGAATAAAGAAATTGCTATTATAATTTTCTTTCTTCCTATAATCCAAAGCCCCTTTCCAATACAGTTAGAAAACCCTCATGTTATAGAGAAAAGCCAGGTGTGGCTTGGAACCCTTTGCAAAGGACCTGACGGTACAGAGCTTAACTCAGAATACAAAAACAGGTACAGAAATACATTTGATCATTGTTAAAAATGAAAGCAGACCTGTTTACTCTTATGATTTTGGCGCGCAATGTACGATTTTGAGGTGTTTTTTTTACAATTGTACGCCAAGACCTGTCACAACTACGATTTTAAGCAACAAGTTTGAAAATATATACATTCCGGTAGTGTTTCTGATTATCATAAAAAACTGGCTAGACACGGCAACAGTAATATTAGCGTAGTCGCCTTAGTGACAATTTTAGTCACTCTTCGTTTTTTTTTCTTCATCGCTGTATGGCGTAATTTTTTGACATAATTATTTCATTCGTCTGCACGTGCACTTAATATAAATTAATATCTATAGCAAATACACGTCTGCAAAACAAAGTGAACACAAATTACAATATAATCATTGGTCATCTACTTTTAGAAGTTACCCTTTTTTACGCCAGCTTAACTTGATCCCACTAGACACTCATTGCAAGTAGTTATGGTATTCATTATATGTACTGTATGTTTATTTAGTATAAAGATTCTGTATTGTACTATTTTGAGATTTAATTGTACGATATTAGGAGTGCTGAACAAGTCTGAAGAATTTTTATCAAAATTAATAATTGTTTGATATGTTCTTGTTTTTTTAAAAATGTATGTGAACGTTAGATATAGGCTTTACATATATTTTAAAAGAATTTCTTGATTACATAAGGACTAATTTTATCCTTACTTTATTCAATGTTCAGATCAAATGAGTCATACCAGAAATCCCTTGGGAATACCATAGGTTTGTAGGGGTTAATAATAAATAAAGATTTCTTTAAAACAAATAAAACCTGAGTCTTGAAGTAATTTAAAAAAAATTAAAGTAAAGCTTACTGCAAATTGGCCTCCTCAACTAAAACATATTTACATTCATTGAAGTGGAAGAGAAATATAATTTTTTGGAACTAACATGTTAGGATATTGTCACTAAATTCTCTAAACTTTTATCTTTAAATTATTAAAAACTTGAAGGAAAATAGATACGATCTTATTGAGGATATTAGAAACATTATCTTTTGGCTCAATTTTCCTTTTGTTAAAAGATGCCAAATTTTGAAAATAATTGTACAAGTTTATTCTCCACAGTAAACTTTGCAAGAATTGTTCCAAGTGGTCTTTTAATTTTCTTTCCATCTTATCCCGTGATGGAAAAGTGCATTGAGAAATGGAAAGTAAGTGATTAGTTTGTTTAAAATAAAAATTCTTATTTAAAGGAGTATTTTCTTTTTTTGTGCAGGTTAATACTACTATGCTTCTTTTTCATCACATGAACTAGAAAGAACAAGATTTGTGAAATGTGAAAGCCTAAATAACGAAATATATTTGTCCTTTATGTCTCACAGGAAACTAACCAGTGGAATATTATAACCCAATACAAGCCTGTTGTGGTAGAACCTAAAGGAAAAGCTGCATTTGTAGAGGTACATTAATTTGCACTTGTTTATTCAATAAATTCAAGAGTTCAATCTTTGGACTTGACAATGAGAAGTAATTGATTTTTATTATTTCTTTTTCGAACAGATCATGGATGAGTTCTATTCTAAGATTAATGACCCAACGCTCAATGGTGCAATTTTTATGGCAGTGTGCAGAGGAAAGGTAAGTTTACAACCATTCTAGTGTTAATAAGAAAAGCTTGGTTCAGTGATGAATATAAAATTTTCCTTATGTTATGGGACATCTTACTGGAGATAGGAGATGAAAAAATGGAAGTGTCAGAAGTTGTTGATAATTTTTGTTTGTTTATGATTTTGCCTGTCTTTTGAAAATGTCGAAAACTTTGAAAATTAAACTTTATGTTAAAACTGGAAATAACCCGAAAAACAATGGCAGGAACTTCCCATCTACTAATGTTACTTGACAAAACATACAAGTAACATACTTGATGAGAATCCCAATTAGGGCTAACTTCTGGGAATTTTATTTTGTGCATCTATTGAACACAGCGTTATATGCATACATGTTGTTTGTTGTTCGTCCTTCGCATGCGAAGGTGACCGGTTTTAAGTTAGGGGGAGTTGCTCAATCAGACAGTCTATTTGATCCAATGGCAAGACGACTGAAAATTGACCACTGTGCAGCAGGTGACCAGCAGTATGTGTTTCACTAAGCTCTTTAAGCCTTCTACATAGCAGAAGTTGTCCTAAAGCCTACAGGACTCCATCTCCGGGTTTGATTTCAGATTTTACCTACCTTCTCTTAGATGAGTTGCCATCCAAGGTTAACAAGCGGGGTGCTGGTGGTGTTTTTGCTTGTCTAGGCATTTTCTGGGGATTGAACTATTGTATTCCACAAACTTGGGATGTACCGTGCGGGCCACCCAGCCATTCATCCATACATACAAATATACATATAGAATTATTATTTTTTCCCTATATTTTGAGGGCCACCATCAATTTATTGATCCTGGTTTGAATTCAGAGTTTGCTTTCTCTTAGATGAGTTGCCGTCCGAGGCTGACGAGTCCCATCCACCCGAGGTGCTGGGGATGTTTTCGGTTGTCTTGGCTTTGGTGTGGATTAAACTCCATACCACCAGCTATTTGGATTAAATCAGTTTTGACCCCTCGGCCACATTTACTTTCCATTTTAAAATTAACGTCACGGTTCGTCTATGAAATTTTCCAAAATTTTACTGGATTCTTTTTGTGCAGGTGAGTGAAGGCCTGGACTTTGCTGATGCCAATGGACGTGCTGTGATGATCACAGGCCTGCCTTTCCCTCCAATGTTTGACCCAAGGGTAAAATTAAAGATGCAGTTTCTCATGGAAAATAAGCAAAACTTTAAGGTATTTTATGTTCATGGTTACAATACTGAATTAAATCTAATGAATCTCAGATTTGCATTTGTCCAGTTAGTTAGCTATTCTTCCCAAAACTAATCTTGCTGGCTTATATAAACCCACTCCTGAGCTCTGTGAGACTGCTGTGGATCTCACAAAGATGGAACTGTCTTATACAGAAGGGAACAGAAGGGAATTTTTAATCAGTTTCTTTTAAAATCTTTTATATTAACTTTGCTTTTGTTCTTGTGTTTGTGGCAAAATCTTCAGATGGCTAATTGACTCGCTTCCTGTCGTCCTATCAAACTGAAACTTGGCACTTGGGCACATGGATGACTACACATTCTTTCAAATTTTCAGCCCCACCTTCCAACCCCCAAAAATCAGTTTCAAGGGGAAGATGGATGAAATATAATTTGTTCAATGGTTGTGTGTTTTGGTTTTTTGGTGTGGAGATTAATAGTGTAGTTGTCGCTGTATTTTGTATTTGTGACATATTTGTTTTAAATATATCTTTAGTCTGTTAAGTTTTACATCCACTAAGTTTGATAAAAACCATTCCCATACCAAAAAACAGTTGCTACAATCATATAAATGAGAAATAATGTATAATTACATAAATGTATACAAAAATGCATATAAAGGATTTATAAGAAAAGGCTTTGTTTTTAGTTTTTTGTGCCTCATCATTTTTATAATTGTAACTTTTTCATCTCTGCATCACGAGCAGTTAATTATTAAAACTTTATAATGGATTAAAAACATGAAACAATTTACTTTTTTGTTAATATAGTTGATGATACAGGCCAAAACGTGCCAAAGTGTCCTCGTTTTATAGCCATTTTAATTTTTTCTATAGTATAGTAGTTACTATCCTAATGTCTCATTTTTATTTTAGTTAGTTTACATGTTTTTAATAATTGTAAAGCGCTTAGAGCTTTAAGGTAAGCGCTATATAAAAATGCCTAAATAAATAAATAAATAAATGATACAACATTACTAAATGCTATTTAAAATAACATTTCATCTCTTCCCAGGGCTTGGATGGTAACACATGGTATCGCCAGCAGGCCACACGTGCCGTGAATCAGGCCATTGGTCGTGTTATACGCCACAACAAAGACTTTGGAGCCATAGTTCTCTGTGATAAAAGGTTTGAGGCTTGTGTGACATGCTTTGTCCCCGCACACTCTGGAGTCAGTGTTTTGCACATCTGTGTCATCATTATCTATACTGAATCAGCTCATTGTGTGTGTATTTGCTAAAAAATTTAAGTTTGAAATCTGTGAACCCTTCTGTTGATTAATACTGGTTTAGGAGACATGGGTACCATGGTAGACTTGAGTACCATCGGAGTTTTGATTACCAAGGGAAAAAGTAAATTAAAATAATTAAGGCCTCATTAAGAGTTTTTGAATTTATAGATGTATAATATAGCTTAGGACTTTGGGTCTGCATGTGTACAAATTAAATAAAGGTTCCAAAATGTAATTTTCATTAATAATTTGGATCATGAAAATTGTCCTTTATTAATGTGTAATTTAATCGCTATTATTCCTAGTAAAAGTAGAACATTGGTTAACATATATGTATATTTTGTTGAGGTTGATTAATTTTAAAAAGTAAATGTATTAAAATTTGATGTTCTATTAGACAAATTTTAGAAATGAAAAAACAAACAAATTTAAGTCATGTTATTTAGCAATATTTTATACCATAGCATTTAAAATTGTATAATTAAAGCTTATCACTTCTTCTGTACTAACTTACATCCAGATTTGATTCAGCTCAAAGTAAAAATGCCTTGCCCTTATGGGTGCGGGACCAGGCTCAGGTTTACAGTAACTTTGGACTAGCAATCAGGGATGTTATAAGGTTTTTCAAGGAGGCAGAGAAAAATGTGAGTAAATAAAAGCAACGCCAAGCAAGTAGAGTAGATATAAGACAAGCAGTGGTCAAACAATAAGGCAAGGAGTGGTCAAACAATAAGGCAAGGAGTGGTCAAACAATAAGGCCAGGAGTGGTCAAACAATAAGGCAAAAAGTTGTCAAACAATAAGGTAAGCAGTGGTCAAATAATAAAGCAAGCAGTGGTAAAAAAATAAGGCAAGCAGTGGTCAAACAATAAGGCAAGCAGTGGTCAAACAATAAGGCAAGCAGTGGTCAAACAATAAGGCAAGCAGTGGTCAAACAATAAGGCAAGCAGTGGTCAAACAATAAGGCAAGCAGTGGTCAAACAATAAGGCAAGCAGTGGTCAAACAATAAGGCAAGCAGTGGTCAAACAATAAGGCAAGCAGTGGTCAAACAATAAGGCAAGCAGTGGTCAAACAATAAGGCAAGCAGTGGTCAAACAATAAGGCAAGCAGTGGTCAAACAATAAGGCAAGCAGTGGTCAAACAATAAGGCAAGCAGTGGTCAAACAATAAGGCAAGCAGTGGTCAAACAATAAGGCAAGCAGTGGTCAAACAATAAGGCAAGCAGTGGTCAAACAATAAGGCAAGCAGTGGTAAAATATGGGGGTGTTACACAATAAGGCAAGCAGTGGTCAATGATGTCATGGTTGTAAAGAGTTATGATATTAATGATAATTTTGTGCCTTCTGAATTTGTTAGGGTAAGTTCAACTTGACTGAAAGTTAAGGCCATTTTTGTTTAGACAAGCCATCATTAAATCACACTCTAGTTTTACTCTGTTTTCCTTCTTTTCGGGTTGAATTTTATTACTTGGGGATTATCTCTTCCCTTAGAATAGCTGTCTTACATTGGCCAACAGTACAGCTCCATTCCACCCTGCTATATAGTTATAGGTGTGAATGGGGGGGGGGGGGCATGCATGTATACGCACCACACACGCACCACACACTTTTTGTCGATTATATCTATATTTTATATTTCTTATATTTTGACATTCATCCACCATCAAGTAAATTTATCTCATCTGTTTTCTTCATTAAAAAATAAATTATCTGATGTTCATGGTTATAGTGTCATCAATTATCCTGCAGTTCCCGACACCAGGTTCGAAACCAGTAAAATCCAGTGGGAAAACTGATGCGGGTATCATCAGTGGAGCATGTTTTGAGCCGAGCTTTACTAAGTCACAAGGTCGTCAACACCTGTCCATAGCATATGAGAGAGCCAGTGACGTAGCTTGTCACATTCCTAGCTTGAAGTCCACAGTAGGTCAGTATTTTATCAGAATGTTAATGGGGAAAGTATAACACAAATCTTATTAATTATTCTCACTTTTTACTTTGCTCTTTAACTCAATATTCATGGGAGAAAGAAAAGTATTGTGCTTCATTTCAAAAAATGGCATGGCTAGGGGAATAACTTTATAGTTGTTTGAACTGGCTCTCGTCTCATGCTAGAGGTTGTATGTTTATTTAACTAGTTGTATAATTAGGGTGCTGGTGGCCAAGCGGTTGTTACTGAGTCAAGCTTGGGGAACCAGAGTTCAAACCTCAGAAAAGGCCTAGACAAACAAAAACACCACCAGAGGTAGACAGTATTCGCCAACCCTGGATGCCAACTCAACTTAGGGAAGGAAAACTCTGTTCAAACCCGGAGATGGAGTCCCGTAGGCGGTACGACTTGACACAATGAAAATTCTGGCAACTCCTGCGATACTACTGGTGCCAACCTGCATCATCCACATATGATGTTCCCTTGAGTTATCCACATGCTAGAGAGAAGTATTTTGCTGTCTTAAGGATCCAGCTTATCTCCTGAAGAGAAAATCCCAGGCCTGGCGATTTCAAAGTCTACACCATCATGACATTGAGAAGGGCGTATGCCAGAAAAAAATAGTTGAGGACTCCTACTAGTAGTTATATAATTATCCTTTATTTTTATTTATGGGGTCTCTAGTTAAAGGTCATGCAATGAAATTTTTAAAGTATGCTTGTTTGCACTATCAAAGTAAAAAGCATCATTAGCTTGATTGAGAGTTATCCTGCATGTGTCAGTGGCAGACATTTATGTTTTGCAGTTGGAAAATTGAAAAAGGCCATCTCACCATAAATGGGTACCATTCTAAGATAATACATCAATTGTTTTAAGTATGATCATCAGCCATTAGTCAGCTCAGATATATTATTCCTTTGTCCATTGTTTCCATAATAAACCACTAATTGTCTTTTTATTATGAACAGATGATGATGATGCGAGTATATATCGGCAGTACTCACACAAAAAATCTGGAATTACTCTGGGTAAAAAAAGATCTCTCCTTGAGGCATTGGAAACAGACGAGGTTAGTTTATTATTTCTACAAATTTATTAAAAACAAAGAATTGATGGCCGAGTTATTCCCATAACCAAACCATCAAAATTGTCTCTCTTTGTTCAGTTTTTACGACAAAATTACCAAATTGAGAAACATGCTATATGTATTGATTTCAGTGGCACTTTTCTTTTAATGGTTTTAAAAATGTCACTGTAATCTTAACTTACTTAATATATCATTTTTATGTCATTTAAAACGTAAATGAATAAACTATTTCTTTGTGCTAAAAGATAGTCATGTTTTTGTCATTAAAATAGCAGAATTCATCATCATATACCTAGTTTAATACATAATAGTTTTAAAAGAAATGTGTTACCATTAATTTTGATAAGTATTTATGTTATCACCTGTCATTATAATCCTGATTAATCTTTCAGTATGAATAAATCGTAATCAGTTTATAGTAATATGCCCTTGAAATCCTGATAAATATTTCAGTATGAATAAATCTTATTCAGGTTATTGTAATATGCCCTTATAATCCTGATTAATGTTTCATGATGAATAAATCTTAATCAGTTTATTGTAAAATGCCCTTTAAGCTATTTTTGGAATCCACAAAACCCAAGCTGGTTCTAAAAATGATAACATTTCTTTGGCAGCCAACAGCGTTCAGCATGCTCCAAATATATCTACACGCAAATCACAAGTTGGAGCTGTCTACTGACAGTGTGTAATTTTTTGTGGGATGTTCAGCTGCTCCTCGTAGTGAATAGTTGGACCTGGCTTAAAAGAAATGAAACTCGGCTAGTCAAAATATTGAAACGGTCCCATGGTCTAGAGATTTATTTTGTCAAGAGAAAAGCCGATGATCTTTGATCTAGTATCAGTAATATCATGTTTTTTTTTAAAAACATTATTTTACAGGACAAAAGTAACAAGCCAACATCTGAAGATAATACATCCCCAACCCAAGTCAGTGCTTGATATCTGTATTGAATGATACATTTCTGTATTTAGTGGGGTTAAATAATGCTTTACTTTTAGCCCAATTCAATGCTAATGTTAACTCTTTCCCTCCGGATCAACGCTCCAATCGTCGATTTGAAATGAAGATTTCGGCGTATCGACGATGGGATCGTCGATGTATAAAAACCTGTTTATTTCGGTTCTTTTCTTAGCTATTGGTATTTAGTTATTTTAAATCAATTCTAGAATGATTTCCCTTTCATAAACATCCGGTTTTACTGTGTTTGTACGAAGAACGAATTGTTTGAAGCGGTTGTTTTGATAGTCCATTTTATTTTTGTTTACAAACATGAAATCTTGACCTGACCCATCCTGTGATCAATCTAATAAAAGGTGGAAAATATTACTCTGATGATGATTCAGACAGTGATTTTATGATTTCAAATGCAGAGGCTGATTAGTAGTACTAGTGACAAAATAATGAAATTGGTAATTCATCAGCTGATGAACAACCAGCCCCGCCCCCCAGCTAAAGGGCACATCCATATGGATTGTTTTTTAGGCTTACTATTGCTAAACCCAGATGGAAATAGGTGACTAATGTATGGTAAATTCTCCATTTACTATTATAAATTTTAGTACATACAAGGATACAGTGCAATTATTTTTTAAATAGCAAGAGATTGTTTCCAGTGGATATTAGTTACATTTTTTTGCTAATTTTTTGTGTGGTGGTGACAATGGATAATGTGCTCTGAGGTTTAATTTTTTCTTTTTTGAAAGTTGATCTTTATTATTTGTGATGCACATATGGATATAGTTCAGAAAAAAAACATTTTTGTTACACTTTGGATTATATATTTCTCTTCGTGTGACTTCGAATGAGCGTTTTGTGAGCATTTGGTGAGTTTTTTAAAATACATTTTTCTTTTCCTTAAATCACATTTATTTATTAAAATTTAAACCCAAATGTTGTTTGCTTGCAAAGCGCATGTATTTCCCTTTGATTCCATACCAATATTAACATTTTCTGATTAAAAACAAAAAAGTTATGAAGGTTTAGAGAAAAGATAGTAGTGCGTAACAAAAACCCGAAATAGATAATTCCGTCAGAACGTGGAAAATAATTCCGGAGGGAAAGAGTTAAAAGTATTACTCTTTCAGAGGCAACTACTTAGACCATTTTTGACAGAGTAATTAAGCGGCCTAGATGTAATATTGCCTTGGTAGTTAAACTAAGTTAAAATCAAATGTTGCCATATTGGCCAATTGGAAAATAAAGGCTTTTAAAGAGGAGGCAACAAAAAAAAAATAGTTTATAATCTTTATTATAATGTTGTACAAATCTAAAAACATTAAAACTGTGTACAAAATATGGATAATTGATAGGAATTGGGTTTAGTTGATAGAGAAATTATTTTGAAAGTGGTATAAACTTTGCTCATTGCTCCTTTAGTAAATCTTGAAATTATTTCAGATTCCATTTTTTCAACCCCCAATGAAAAAGCTTCCTGGAAAACAAAAGAAAATTATAATCAAGGTAAGCTTTGTCCCATTCCTGGAAGTTGTTTGTTGTTACAATTGATGCAGGAAAGTGATTAATATTTCTTAAGCTCTATAAGAATGGGGGGGGGGGTGGTTCTGAATTGAAGACAGATAGTGAAAAAATAATTAATAACATCCTATTTAATAGACGACATTCATTTGTGAATAATGTGTATATCATTGTTTTGTTTCCAGGCTGTACTGCCAGAGGTCATCGTGTCTAAATCAAGCACTGACATAACGGCTCGGGTTGAACAAGTGAAGAAACAGATGATCAATGAGACACATCATAACTACGTAGACCAGGTGAGTTTAACATAATTATGCACTTTAGAGATCAAACCAGATATAATGCATAATATTTCAACAACTGGCAACAGAGCACAAGAGCTGATATTAAGCCTCATAGAGGCCTTCAGCTTTGAAAATTTACCAAGTTCTTTATATCATCCACAAATGCAAGGACTTTAAGTTTGAGGCATTGGTGGTTTGTGTTTTATTGTTGTTCAAGTGGGCAATGGCTTGCCAATGTTTGTAAGTGGAAAAAATACAATTCTATGGTTATGATTATATATATATAATTTTTTTTTTGTTGAAAAAAAATCAATGTAAGGTCAAGCTCAGAACAAAATTTACTTTTAAAAAAACATTAAATCTGATGATTTGTTTAGATAATCAAGAAAAATTATGAGTAACATGACAGAGAGAATTGTTTGCCTCAGGTGAAAGCTGCTCTGTCCAAGGACTGCTACAAGCGCTTCTCTTACACCTTGGCCAAGTACTTAAAAGAAAAAGATATCCATGACCTGGTTGCTGTCTTCGCAGAGATCTTCACAAGCTGTCCACAGAATTACCACCTCTTTCAGAGTAAGCACATCACCCTGACCCCCAGCCACGCTTTAAACTTTTGGGCAGAGGCTCTGAACCCTGTTCAACCAATCAAACGTACCCTTTGGCATCACTCAGAAGTTGTGTCCATTGGTGATGTGGCATTTTAAAAACACATAGCTTTTTGATGAGCTTCATGTATGCTCTGCATAAACTTTCAAGTTTTGCCTCAGTTTTGAACAATAGTTCAGAAAAAGTTTCACCTCCACGTCTGCTAGCAATTGCATTCTAGAAAAATGTATTTAACTTTTGCAGGAATTTGTGAATCTAGCAGCTACAAAGTATACCATATTTTTTCTGAAGGCTTAATTTAAAATATCCTATTTTAAGAGATTTTAATTACTAAAGCAATAAACTGAGTAGTCTCTTACCATGGGTGGCAAGTTTAATTAATTTTTGTGCATTTGATGTTACTGTAAAACAATACCCTCAATGTTAGTGTAACTGAAAATGCTTCAGTCGCAGAATTAAAAAGAGGATAGTCTGCTGCGCTGGGTGGGACACTTAGAAAGAATTCAAAATGACAGAGAAGGGAAACACCACCAAAACCTGAAGAGGACAACGGCTCAAAGGCAGACCTAAGCTTAGAAGTTAGGTCTGAGTGGAAGGAAGTGGGTAGGCAGGCGAAAGCCCTACAGGGGCTGTAGCACTACAGAATTGGATGGGTGGAAAATGCTTCAGGCTGATCCATCAAAAACTTTAATAAAGAGACCTAATTTTTTTTCCATAGAATTCATTCCATTTGTGAAGTTGGCAGACAAGCAATACTATGCTCGTACCTGCTTTGAGTTGACAGGTCTCAAGTGTGACTACAAACCAACTCCAGGCGGGGACAAAAGGCCTCTTGGCACCAACTCAGATAATAAATTAAATCCACCAAAGGAACTGAGGTGTTCCAAGTCTGAAGCAGAATCTTCCAGCAAAGACAGGTATTTTGTCCTGTTCATCGTTTTGTTGTTTTCATTAAAAATTCATCACATTAGAGATTAACCTTGGTGCTGAAATGATTTAAGTAAAATCATTTTAAAAAACTTGATAATATTACCAAAGGTAAAGATTTTAAAAGGAATAAAAATCATTTTAAAAAACTTGATAATATTACCAAAGGTAAAGATTTTAAAAGGAATAAACGGACAGGGGGGGGGGGGAACAAATATTTTTTAAGAAGTCAGATTTCTTCTTAATACTGCAACTGTAATATAATATAGCTTTGAAAATCATGGACATTTAGGGACTTTCCTATAAAGTTAGAGTTATAATTTTGTACACAGTAATCAGAAGTTGTTGTATTCAACCCCAATCCATATTTTTAGTAAAACATAATGAGCGAGTGCACTCAATTTAACATTAAATGATGGTAAAAATTGCAAAAGGGGCTTGAACACTGAAGTGGAACACAAGTAAACTTGTCCCCTTCACCGCCTGGGCCATCGGGGGGGGGGGAGATATTTCAACCTGGTCCAAACCCCGCAGCTTCCACTTATTGGAAGTGAAGGTAACTGTAGCACTGTGTTCAGCTTGACTTGTTCAAGGAGCTTCCACTTATTGGAAGTGAAGGTAACTGTTGCACTGTGTTCAGCTTGACTTGTTCAAGCAGCTTCCACTTATTGAAAGTGAAGGTAACTGTTTCACTGCGTTCAGCTTGACTTGTTCAAGCAGCTTCCACTTATTGGAAGTGAAGGTAACTGCTGCACTGCGTTCAGCTTGACTTGTTCAAGCAGCTTCCACTTATTGAAAGTGAAGGTAACTGTTTCACTGCGTTCAGCTTGACTTGTTCAAGCAGCTTCCACTTATTGGAAGTGAAGGTAACTGTTTCACTGTGTTCAGCTTGACTTGTTCTGCAAAAGAGATCTCACTTGTTGATGTGTATAATGTTAATCGTTCCATCTTAAAAAGAAAAAAAACAGAAACCAATTTCAGCTAAAATGAGTTTAAAAAAAAAATATCTATAATTCTCATAGAACATGACCTATTTTTCCTTCTACTAATAAAACTTTGTGTCATTAACAGTTGCAACACAAGAACCACAACTCCAGTTGTTGATCCTGAAAGCAACAGTGTGTTAAAGTGTCCCGGCAGCAGCAGTCAAGAAATTGAAGGTATTATTATAGTCAAGTTAAATTCTTTACCTGTCAAATCCATATTTTTGTTTTTTCATTGATCCCCTGAACCACTTGCTATCACTACGGGTAATACCCATATAGTATATAGTCTCAAAACTTAACAGTTTGTTAAATTGGCACAAAAAAATGTGTAGGTTTATTTTCTATGCAAAAAAAAATTCCTCAGGCCATCAACCTGACACTGAAGCCTTTGCTAACGACAGTCCAACAATGACTATGCTCAACAGAATATCGAGGCTACCTTCCTGCCTACAAGGAGGGAATCAAAGTTACTTTGGTTGAAATGAAAGGCGACGGACAGGTGTCTGTGCTTACCAAAGACATTTCTCAAAGGGCACCAGGGTTCAGAGATGGTCACCTGCTCTGGACGTCAGACCAAGGAAAAGTACCCCAGTTTAATTACGATGACAGGAAAAGCTACGATGAGCTGGTCAAGCGGGGGGCCATTGACCCCAAAGATGGGCTTTTTACCCGTGACATGTTTGTGTTCCCAAAGACTTGGGAGGAGGCCAGACCTGAGAGAAGAGAGTTTGTTAGGTTTCCAGAAGGTTAGAGATCTTCTATATTTTGAGGGCCCACGATCAATGCATTGATAATTCTGGCTCCTATGTTTGTAGAGGGCGTTCACCATGTTTCTGTACCCGGTATTGAAGAGGATACTGGTTTGCAAGGGTTACTCATCGATGATATAAGGAACTGGGGGCTGGAAGGTTGGAATGAGCAGTTCCTGTACTACGTTCTTGCTGTTCTGAGCCGGAACTGCCTGTCATGGCCTCGTTGCTGTCTAGGGAGGAGAGGGACGAGTTTTTGTTTAATGCTGGAGCAGTGGACAGGCCCATTATTTATCTTGTACATCATTGAGAGTCTCGATAATTGTCGCCTTTCTTCCAATGGTGACTAGCCCAGTGTTTCCAGCATGCTGCCAATACTTGAGATGTTCCTGTAGTGGTTCAGGACCGAGCGCGCTGCCTATAGCTGGACCGCCTCCAACCTGTCGATGGTCTTCTGGGTGAATGGGTCCCCCAGACTGCAGATTTCTAAAAGTGGCCGCACAAAGGCTTTATAGTCTTTTTCTTTCACGCTGAAGTTGCAAATCCTCAGATGTCGCATTAGGAACCCTAGGGTATTGTTTGCCCGGTTGTACACGGTGTCAATGTGCTCGTCCCTGAGGACCTCTCTTTGAATGGTAACACTGAGGTACCTTACGGAGTTAACTGGCTCAAGCATATGACCATGCAGTTTGTAAGGGTGAGGTAGAAGGGATCTGCCTCTGGAGACTAACAGGGATGCAATTCCATGTCCCAGCTCAACTCCCACTCAGCTAATCACTTGAGGTCCTGTTCTAGCTGGTCCTGTAACCTGCCATGTCGTGTGCGAACAGTCTTACTTGGGAGGTCAGCTTCTCGGGCAGATCATTGATGTATGCTAGGAACAAACAGGGGCCTAGCACCGAGCCCTGGGGGACCCCTGACAACACAAAGGAGGAGCTTGTGCAGTCCACCACTACTGCCTGGCATCGATCACTGATTAAGCTAGAGATCCATGTTTTGGTAGTGCCTTGGATACCATATCTCTGAAGTTTGTGAAATAGCAAACTATGGTTGACACTGTCATATACCTTTGAGAAATCCATCACCAGCATGCCAGTTAGCTTGCTGTTCTCCAGATTGGTCGTCAGTCAAGTCTTCTACAAACTGAAGAAGCTGGGTCTCACATGATCTATTGACTCCGGAGCCATGCTGACAGTCATTGAATATATTGTGGCTTTCAAAAAGCTTCATGACTGTGTTTACGATTATGTGCTCAAATATTTTGCATTTTTGCTGGTGAGCCATACCGGACTTATTTGGCAGGGTCAGAATGCTCCCCTTTCTTGTAGATTGGAGTGACATGCGCTGCTCTTCAATCTGTTGGAACATTGATTGTGTACAGCGATGATTTGAAGAGGATTGTCAGTGCAGGAGCGATTTCATGGCCAATTTTTTGAGCACTCAGTGGTTTGATGTTGTCAGGACCACATGCCTTGTAGGGGTTAATGATTTTGTGGAGGGCCAGCACCCCCTTCCCTGAAATCTGGATATCTTCCATGATGGGGTAGGCTGTGCTCATGTTGGTCTTCAGAAGGAACTCAACCTCTGAGTACTCTCTACCATCACCAAAGCCAGACTGGAACTGTTGAGTATGCCCGCCTGTGCTTTTGGGTCAGATGCCAAATGGCATTATTTTGTTAGGTTTTCAGAAGGTTAGAGTTTGTTAGGTTTCCAGAAGGTTAGAGCTTGTTAGGTTTCCAGAAGGTTAGAGTTTGTTAGGTGTCCAGAAGGTTAGAGTTTGTTAGGTTTCCAGAAGGTTAGAATTTGTTAGGTTTCCAAACGGTGAGAGTTTGTTAGGTTTCCAGAAGGTTAGAGCTTGTTAGGTTTCCAGAAGGTTAGAATTTGTTAGGTTTCCAGACGGTGAGAGTTTGTTAGGTGTCCAGACGGTTAGAGTTTGTTAGGTGTCCAGAAAGTTAGAGCTTGGTATAAAACTGTTGGAGATGTTCACATGGTTTGGACACAGCTGTAGATGTTTTTGTCTAAATGGTTTGGCTTCGGTGAAAAATCTTTTGTTTTACTGGTCGTACTGTTGTTTTCCTTAAATATATATATATATATNCTTCTTAGCCATCATTTTGCTTAGTATTTGTTATTATAAAGGATGGATTTTGCAGGAAATATGAAAATAAAAACACCCGAGTCTGTATCATTTCTTATCCATATGATTAATTTTGTACATGATCATCTTTGTATCTAAATTTATTTGTAACAAAATTCAATGTAAATTACTTCATGCATACAAAAAAAAAATGATTTTAAACAAATGCATTAAATATATTAATTTCCAATTGTGTTTCAAGAAATACAATTAAAATAATTTTTTTAATTAAAAAAAAAAAAAAACTTTTCACAGGGGAGACAATCTTCTCTACATGTTTGTTTTGTAATCAAAAGCCATTTAATGGAATGAGGCATGAATGTGGGGCGACTTGTTGTTTCTTGTGTTGGAAAACAAACACATTTGAGGTTAGTGGCTGGTTATATGGTTGGACGGGATGTTGGTTGTATTAATGAACAACACAGTGATTTTTCTTTACAGATAATTAAAATTAATAATTTTGTAAAATGTTCTGTAGAAGGAGTGAAAACAAAAGCCAATGGGTTATGAAGTATTGCGCCATCCTTACACACTGGAACCACAGATTAGGAATGCCCCGGTTAATGAACAAATGAGTTAAGAAATAAGTTTAATGAACAATTTTCGTCTTCAGTTAATGAACTATAACTCGGGCTACGAACAATGCATTCTTCGGTACACAATCTCACCGGCACAGTGGGTCTTTGGTGCATTTCCGTAAATATCGTTTGTCCAAGGGCTGTGTTCAAAAACACGACTTTTTGTTACTTTTGCTCTTCGTGTGTTATGAAAGCCATCATTATGACACCTAAAGATAGAAGTGTTGTTACGAGGAATAGTGTCGTAATTTATAGGACTTAACTTGTTAGATTTTAATATGTGGGTTGAGACATGGGATGGACGTCTGGAGGGTAAAAGATCTGATCAGGAGAATTTTGTCTTCAGAGATATAACAATTGAATAATGTGGGATACAAATCTAGTCAAGTTTATAGTAACGCGTTGGGTAAATATGAGGGGGAAATTTGTGAGAAACAGACCATGAAGTTGGAGATTCAAGGACGCAGTGGTAGCCATAGACAAAGATAGACCTAGTGATAGCCATTTCGTCAAGTGTTAGAGCCAGGAAAGAGCTATCATTGGATATGTGATATAATAATCCTCAATAAATATTTTCTTCAGATGTGTTTCTGAGGAGTTGTTTGAACTATTTTTAGTGCCTTGTTTTTTCTGAGTTCTTCTCAACATCTGGATCAACCATCACAGAGAGCAGCCGCCCTGTGTTAGTCACAATCGCACATATTACTTGGTACGTGGCCATAAATGTGGCCCACACACATACTACTTGGTACATGGCAATAAGTATGGTCCACATCCTCATAATAAAATCCATTCTGTGATAAATAGAAACATAATTATTTAACCTAGCCAAAATTTTAACGCTGCCATTTGTGCCTTTGTATATATTTCTGTTAGAAATTATTTTGATAAGCTACGACAGTAGTTCCTAAACTTTTTTAGATTCAAGTGACCCTTGTTGAATCCAGATTTTTTTCCAAGGCGAAATAACGAAATATTTTCTTTAAATTAAAGGATAAGGTAAAAATAAATGAAACACGTGTGTAGGTGGATGAGCTCCGTCTAGTAACCATTTGTAGGAGCTTCTGCAAACAGTAGTTATTCAAGTGAGCTATGAGATATTGCGTCCCGTCGCATTGGAATGAAAATGGAAATTTTGTCATGCTGTTCATTATTTTATGTATGTATTTTATTTAAATGTCATGATAATGTCTCTTTTGATATTAGTTTTATGTACAGCGCGGTGACCCCAGCCCTAGTCTGGGGTACTGCGCTATATAAGCTCACTAATTATTATTATTATTAAATAAAATTATAAAAAATGTGTGATATTTTCTGGAGAGGAAGAGATAAAAGTTTTGGAAACAATGGGTAAACAGACAGAGAAAACCAGTGACTTATTTTTATATGTTTCACAATTACTTTGTTTGCTGTGTACGCCATAATTATCTCTAAATAAAATTTGCAAGGGGTTGGGACTATTAATATTTGCCTTTTTTTTTTTTTTTTTCTTTTTTTTTTTTTTTTTTTTTTTTTTTTTTTTTTTTTTTTTTTTTTCTTTTTTTTTTTTCTTTCTTTTTTTTTTTTCTTCTCCTTTGTTATATACAGATAGCCCCCACGGGAGATTAATTAGGTTCGATGTATTGGAAATAAATAATTGTAAAAAAAATTCAACATTTAGAAGTATTTATAAATTTGTTCTCCAGGGCCCTGCAGAAAGAAAGTGTCCCTACATTCACTGTGGCAAACGAGTCCAAAGGAAACATCTGGTCACAGTTACAGATACAATAGATGCTGCATCCTGAAGTGAACACTAGAACTATGACCGGGTGGGGGGGGGGAGTCTTTCACTTTATTTTTGGCAAGAGTTTGTTGTAAACTCATCACAAGTAGTGCGTGGCATTTAAGATGGGGGTTTCAGTCATGAGGAGTCAATGTTTTTCCATCTTTTATGAGTTTGTTGTAAACTCATCACAAGTAGTGCGTGGCATTTAAGATGGGGGTTTCAGTCATGAGGAGTCAATGTTTTTCCATCTTTTATGTCGTCTGGGAAATTTTAAGACATTGCTTCTCAAACTATTCTGCCTGAAGAACTAGAGGAATGTATCTAAAACGCAGCCAGGAGCTGTGCCTAATTCATTGATCATTGTTATTTTTCACTCATCTGATGTATGTTTACATATCTGGGCTGTTGACTGAGGCTTGGGGGGTTGTTGTTATCACTTTGAGAAGCATTGTCTTCCACCACTGTGTCCCCCTACCCACTTCCACCACTGTCCCCCCTACCTACTTCCACCACTCTGTCCCCCCTACCTACTTCCACCACTCTGTCCCCCTACCCAACCCCCCCCTGCATATTAAAAAATTATCTCACTGAAATATTTCAAATCTGCTTAAACTGAAGCTGTTGTTTATATTTAGAATTCCTGATGATCCTATGGAATTAATAAATGACCCTGTGGAATTTATAGATGACCCTATGGAATTAATGGATGACCCTATGGAATTAATGGATGACCCTATGGAATTAATGGATGACCCTGTGGAATTTATAGATGACCCTACGGAATTAATGGATGACCCTATGGAATTAATAGATGACCCTATGGAATTAATGGATGACCCTATGGAATTAATGGATGGCCCTGTGGAATTAATAGATGGCCCTGTGGAATTAATGGATGACCCTATGGAATTAATGGATGACCCTATGGAATTAATGGATGACCCTATGGAATTAATGGATGACCCTACGGAATGTATGGATGGCCCTGTGGAATGTATGGATAACACATGTTTTTTTAAAATGTATTACCACCTTTTGAAGATTTTTGTGAAGGATTAATTTATTTTGAACCTATCTGTCTAAAGTGTGGTAACTGGTATGATAGAAGTTGAATGATGGTAGCAGGCTCAAACCACACGTGTGGTAACTGGTATGATAGAATTTGAATGATGGTAGCAGGCTCAAACCACACGTGTGGTAACTGGTATGATAGACGTTGAATGATGGTAGCAGGCTCAAACCACACGTGTGGTAACTGGTATGATAAAAGTTGAATGATGGTAGTAGGCTCAAACCACACGTGTGGTAACTGGTATGATAGACGTTGAATGATGGTAGCAGGCTCAAACCACACGTGTGGTAACTGGTATGATAGACGTTGAATGATGGTAGTAGGCTCAAACCACACGTGTGGTAACTGGTATGATATAAATTTGTTCCATTTTACTCATAGATATTTTGATGTTGAATGTTGACTTGACTGTTTCAGTGAGGTCGTCACAATGGGGTTACTTTTGTATTGAGTCATAAATTCATTACATTTCAAAGTGTTGTGTGTGTAATTTTTTTTGAGGTAAGATTGAAGAATTTACTAGATAGAAAGTTAGCATGTCTTTGAATGGTTGAAGAATAAATAAGTAGAAAGTTAGTAGGTCTTGACTAGTTGAAGAATTTACTAGACAGAAAGTTACCATGTCTTTGATTGGTTGAATAATTTACCGGACAGAAATTTAGCATGCCTTTGACTGGTTGCCCCTATGACATCGCAGAAAGTAAAAGAGCTAGAGTTTTAAAATTGACGTTAAATAAAATAATTAACGATGGTTAAAAGTGTATTCTCCGTACTGTTGAGATTAAATTTGAAGAAATTTGACCCAACCTTAAGTAGTGTAAGTGTAACTTTGTTTCCAGGCTGAACTTTACAGTGAGAAGAACAGCATCAAAGTTCAAAGCTGCCTTGACATTGATACACTTAATCATCAAACTGAAAAGGATGCAATTTATATTCGTGGTTAAAATGCTGCAAATAAAGTGAGCTCAAACAACTCATCTGTACTTTTAACTCAAATTCTGTGCTTAGATCTCTAAGTCTGTGCTTAGATCTCTAAGTCTGTACTTAGATCTTAAAAGTCTGTACTTAGATCTCAAAGTCTGTACCGGTACTTAGATCTCAAAGTCTGTACTTAGATCTCAGTCTATATTTAGATCTCAAAGTCTGTACTTAGATCTCAAAGTCTGTACTTAGATCTCAAAGTCTGTACTTAGATCTCAAAGTCTCTACTTAGATCTCAAAGTCTGTCCTTAGATCTCAAAGTCTGTCCTTAGATCTCAAAGTTCAAAGATTTTTTTCTGTCCCACCAAAAATGACCCATTATTTCCCCCACATCGTATACTGGAATTTCGTTAACAAATTTCATGGGTCAACCCGGATATTTTCAGCTTCTAATGTAGTTTCCGATTCCAGCCCATGCAGTAGGTGGCCATTGGGATCTTCTTTTGTATGGTGGTATTCACAATTGGTTTAAATACAAATTGAAAGAATGTGTAACATGTTTCTACATTGCTTCTGGGATTGTATATGGGCTTTATGACATCAATTGGAAGTGAGAAGTTTTGGAAATCTCTATCCACCCCCCCCCCCACCAAATCAAATCATTTAAAGATAAGTGAGCAAAATGTGTCACGGGTTTACGCCGCCGAATGTTTGGCCAGACCAGTGGTTCCCATAATATACGCCAGGTCACTATGTGTGTCACACTGCCCTCGGGCAGAGCAGAGTCATGAGAATGTGGCCAAGAGGGCCGTCGCACCAGGAGACCACAATTAAGGGCGTCAAAATCGTCTTCGGATAAGATGTTAATAGTGAATTAAAATATAAACTATTACCGTAATGCTGCGACTCCTGAGCACTGCCAGTGGCGACATCTTAGCGTGTTCATTTGTGAAATACATCTTTGATACATCCAAGCCAATAATTTCATGACAACAAAAACAAAACAAAAAATTTTTTACTTTAACTTCAAGAGATTAATAAGTAAATAATTATTTGAACTAAAAGCCTTGTGATTTGTGAACTTCAATCAATACGTTGTATGTATACTATGGTCATAGATTACAGAGGCTATTCTTTAGATGCTTAAATGTGCTTCGGCTAAAAGCTAATGCGCGCATAGAATGTATGATGGCACGATATTTGATACCGGTATTGTTTTTGTTGGTTTGGCAAAGCTTTATCGGTACCGGTAATAGGAATCTGGTTACAGAGCAGTTTTCAGTGTTTTTTGTTATGTTTTAGCACTGCGTTCTCAGCTGAGCCACAATAGAGGTCAGATTGACATATTTTATAAGACGGAAAGCAGTAAATGTTTAAAACCGATTGCTGATGTCTGTTTATGGATATGTGCCAGCCATGCGCTAGGACCACATGGTCCAAGCAAGTGTGAGAATATTCGTCATAGGTTGAGAAGGTTTAAGATCAGATGTGAGCGTAACCTCAATGTATTATTTAATTTTTTAAAATATTTTTTTTACATTTTATGTTTCCTCAGCTATCCCCCCCCCACTATTCTACCAGCGATGTTGAATGGCTCTCTCTTTTACAGCTATGTTGCCCCACTCATGTACCAGCTGTGTTGAACATCTCTATTACAGCTATGTTGCCCCACTCATGTGCCAGCTATGTTGATCATCTCTTTTACAGCTATATTGCCCCACTCATGTGCCAGCTATGTTGAACATCTCTTTTGCAGCTGTGTTGCCCCACTCATGTACCAGCTATGTTGATCAGCTCTTTCACAGCAATGTTGCCCCACTCATCTACCAGTGACCAGCTATGTTGAACAGCTCTTTTACAGCCCTGTTGCCCCACTCAATTCATAAAAAAGCCTGCTCCAAAGCCCTGGTGAATAGGTTTATACTGGTACTGGTACTTTATTTAAACTCAGGCATATTACCACAGCAACTCACAGAACATTATCAATGACATGTTCTCCAGACTAAGATTTATTTTTAAAAATGTTATTGCAATCTCGTAAACACAATAGTTTAACTACCACAATAGAATACTATAGACACTACTAATAATGAAATTAGATTGAGACACAAATCATGCAACATTTAGTACATTAGCTTTCAAGGATGGATTCAAGTTGATTGACAGGGACCTTTTGGCGGCCCTTTTGCCCGGGGGCACCTTGGCGGAGGATTAGTTGACAGGGGCCTTATCGTGGAAGGGGGGCAGTATTGTTGGGGCCTTATTGTCGAGAGCCAAATTGTCGTGGGCCTTTTTGTCAGAGGTCGAAATTTAGTGGCCTTTATGTCCGACCATTTTGGTAACACACCCCCCCCCCCTCTCTTTTTTCTTATCAGATCGTTCACAGCATCCGTTTAGTTACACAGAAGAAATCTACAAAAATAAGAATCATTTTGCATAGCAAATATGTATTTGGCTTATAAGAAATTAAGAAATTACACTCTGTGCTACTTGAGCACTTCACCTTACTTCAACTAACAGTACATTTGAGTCTGGTGTTAAAAATGAAATCTGTTACTCCTTAAAACCTCTTACTTTGCTCTAATTTGGCTTGAAAAATAAATCTGTAAAAAAAAACAGCTTATAATAACTTCAAGAAGCTGTGGGATGACCGGAAGCTATGATTAATAGTTGATCTTTTCAAAGGTTTTTTGTTAGGGTGGGGGGAGGAATGGGGTGTTATCTTGAAGGGGAGGGGTGAGGGAGGAACACTGCTCTAGAGTAGATTCTAGAGCTGCAGTCAGGGGTGGACTGGGGAGTTCAAGCGGCCCGGGAAAAAATCAAAAAGCGGCCCTATTTTAATGACTTTTATTACATCACCGGTCCTAGCGGCCCATCGGGAATCTTCCCGATGTCCCGGCGGCCCAGTCCACCCCTGGCTGCAGTCACTTGTACTCAAACTTGATGGGAAGATGAATAGGTCAAGCTTAAGTGCCGCCACTTGGACCAGCTACTTAGGTCGTAAAACTAGGGGGAGCAGCTGAGTGCCTCTAAGTGAAAGTTGTGAGCGCTT